GCTCCATGACTCGGAGCGGGATGGCACGTGGTAGGGGTCCCTGCCTCCTTGCCCTCTCCTTCTGCTCTTCCACATACATCACGCCTCATACCCCTCCAGCTCGTCCTCCTCCTCAACCTCCTCCGCCTCCTTCCCGTCCTCCGACGACGACGAAGACGAAGATCGCGCCGACAAAGACGAAGACGACGACGACGACGACGACGACGACGACGACGACGACGACGACGACGACGACGACGACGGCGGCGACGACGACGACGACGACGACGACGACGACGACGACGGAAAACGACGACGACGACGACGACGACTACGAGGGGTTCCGCGCGCGGCGCGCCGTCGTGCCGTGCTGCGGCTGGAGCGCCGCGGCGGCAGCCGGCCGCAGCTGGAGGGCGCCGGTGGAGATGCCGCACCTGCTGCGCGGGCGGACGACGCAGCCGTCCAACGTACGGCGAGGGGCCCCGGGCACGAGGCCTGCGGCGGTCCGGCGCGCTCCCCTGGCGGGGTTCGGCTGCACGCTGGAGCGACCGTTCTGTGCTCGATGGAACAATACGGTCGGACCCAGGACAGAAGAACATCCTCCAAGAACGCGAGACCCTCCGCCAGCCAGAACTCACGGAACATCCAAGGGTACCCTCCCCAGGATGCACAAGAACATCCAACGTACACGGAGAACACTAGGGTACCCTCTCCGAGCCGACCTCGATCTTACACTTCGGTCCGACTGCAACATCATCAAAAAATCCCGGACAACTCAGACGACCCCCCGGACAAGCCAGGCAACCCATGCCGATGTACGACGACAGGGCGGCCTACCCCGGACAGCCCCATGGACAACCCGGCGGGGATCTGGACAACCCCTCCGGACAACCCCGCTCGGACAAGCCTCCCCAGACTTTACGAGCGGGGGTGTCCGATGGTGGAGGCTTTTTGTTCCCCCCCCCGAGGTTTTTTTTCCCCCCCGAGGGGCGCGGCTTTGTTCCCCCTCCCGGCGGCTTTTTTTTTGTCCCCCCGGGGAGGGGGGGGGTTGTTTTCCCCTGGCGGTTTTTTTTTGTTCCCCCCCGGGGGAGGGTTTTTTTGTTGTTGTTGTTTCCCCGGCGGTTTTTTTTTCCCCGGGGTGGGGGGTTTTCCCCGGGGGGGGCTCTTTGTTTTTTTCCCCTCGGCGTTTTTTTTGTCCCCCCCCCGTGGCAAATGAAGGGGGCAACTAAAGTGGATTGTCGAAACAAGCTCTAGCCTTAGCATCAAAATCCGATGCAGGCGCCAGAACCTCCAGCAGAGATAACCCCAGCAAGCCGCCTGGAAGACCTGGACACACGAAAAAAAAAAAAACGTTCTACTCCCTAAGTGGCCTGGACACGTAAACACACGTGGTTCAGCTCGGGACAACCATGTTAGATACCCCCCTGTGTGGCCTGGACACGTGAAAACGCGTCCCTTGAGCTCGGAACCGCCATGCTAGATACCCTCCTGTGTGGGACGTGGTTCCAGCTCTGGACCACCATGTTAGATACCCCTTAGGCGGCGTGGACACATGAAAACACGAGGTTCCAGCTCGGAACCACCATGTTAGATACCCCCCTGGGTGGCCAGGACACGTGAAAACACATGGCTCCAGCTCGGGACCGCCATGCTAGAGGCCCTCCAGGTGTGGCCTGAACACATGAAAAAATCGTGTTCCAGCTAGGGGCAACCATGATAGATACCCCGCTGGGCGGCCTGGACACGTAAAAACACATGGCTCCAGCTCGGTAATTCCATGTTAGATACCCCCGTGGGTAGCCTGGAAACGTGAAAACACGTGGTTCCAACTCGGGGCACACATGCTGGATACCACCTTGGGTGGCCTGAACACATAGAAGACATGGTTCCAGCTGGGGACTACCATGTTAGACATCCCCCTGCATGATCATTCCCCGTCATACTCATAATTCTCATGAGCACTCGCCATCATCATCATCATCATCATCATCATCATCATCATCATCATCATCAGCAGCAGCAGCATCATCATCACCATCGTCATCATCATCGCCATCATAGCATCATCATCATCATCATCAGCAGCATCATCATCACACTCACAAGCATATGTGGCTCGAGGCCTCTGGTGCGCCCTTCCCTTCCGCATCCCCCGTGTCCGACACAACACCCAGTACTCAACAGCCTCCGTGTCCCACACACACACACACCGTACTCAACAGACTCCCGCTGCAAGACACCCTCCTCCGGAGTTCTATGAAGATCCCGATCCCGCCCGCCGCCCGCCAGCCCGCCCGCCCCCGCTCTCCTTGTGCTCAGCTCTTTCTGTGTCCAATACAACACCCAACACTGAACAGCCTCCGTGCCCAACACAACACCCTGTACTCAACAGCCTCCGTGTCCAACACAACACCCTGTACTCAACAGGCTCCCGCTGCAAGACACCCTCCTGAAGAAATCTATGAAAATCCCGGTCCCGCCCGCCGCCCGCCGCCCGCCCGCTCGCCCACCCGCCCGCCCCCGCCCTCGCCCAATGCATGCCAATGCGTGCCAATGCATGCCAACGCATGCCAATGCATTCCAAAGCATGCAAATGCATGCCAGAGCATGCCAATCCATGCCAATGCATGCCAACGCATGCCAACGCATGCCAACGCGTGCCAACGCATGCCAAAGTATGCCAAAGTATGCCAATGCATGCCAGTGCATGCCAACGCATGCCAATGCATGCCAACGCATGCAAATACATGCCAATGCATGCGAATGCATGCCAATGCGTTGGTATGCATTGGCATGCTGTGGCATCCCATGACATGCATTCGCTTGCGTTTGCATGCATTGGCATGCATTAGCCGCCGCCGCCGTCGTCGTCGTCGTCGCCGTCGTCGTCGTCGTCGTCGCCACCGCCGTCGTCGTCGTCGCCGTCATCATCAGTATCACTATCGCAATCGACCGCCAGACGTCAAGCTCCGGCGCCTGCCCAGCAGTCCCCCCGGGGCGAGATCCCCAGGCCCACGCCGGAGCCCCCCTTCGGCGAGGCCCCCCTTCGGCGGGGCCCCCTCCCCCCCCACAAGCCAAGCCTCGAGGGGGGAAGCAAAAAAAAACGAGGGAAAAAAAATAAACCTCGGGGCCTCGGGGGCGGGGGGGGGGGGGAAAAGCCTGAAGGGACACGAAAAGCCTCCGAGGGAAAAAAGAAAAGCCTCGGGGCCCCGGCTCCCCCCCGCCCCCCCCCCCAGGGGGGAGAAAAAAAAGCCTCGATGGGGGAGGGGGGGGGGGGGGAACCTCCGAGGAAAAAAATAAAAGCCTCGAGGCCCCCCCCCTTCCCGCCCCACCCCCCCCCCAGGGGGGAACAAAAAAAAGCCCCCCCATCCCCCCGAAGCCCCCCCTGGGGGGAATAAAAAAGCCTCGGGGGGGAAACAAAAAAGCCGCCGGGGGGGGGGGAAGCCCCCGGGGGGAGGGGGGGGGAAAAAACATATATATATATATATATATATATATATATATATATTACCACACATACGTACATATACATATACGTGTTAAATATATATATATATATGTATACATACATACATACATACATACATACATACATACATACATGCATGCATACATACATACAAATATATACATACATACATACATACATACATACATACATACATACATACATACATACATACATACATACATACATACATACATACATACATACATGTATGTATATATTTGTAAAAATAAAACAGAATAAAATAATTATGCTAACGGAGTTCCCCACATAAAGAGATTAACGGTTTCGTGGGACCCATTTTCTTGATACCCTCCTCGCTCAGGCGGGGCCTCCCTGGAGGGGTGGGAGGGGCACGAAACCATGTAAATAGTATGGTATTCCGATACCCTCCTCGCTCAGGCGGGGCCTCCCTGGAGGGGTGGGAGGGGCACGAAACCATGTAAATAGTATGGTATTCCGATACCCTCCTCGCTCAGGCGGGGCCTCCCTGGAGGGGTGGGAGGGGCACGAAACCATGTAAATAGTATGGTATTCCGGCTCAGGCGGGGCCTCCCTGGAGGGGTGGGAGGGGCACGAAACCATGTAAATAGTATGGTATTCCGATACCCTCCTCGCTCAGGCGGGGCCTCCCTGGAGGGGTGGGAGGGGCACGAAACCATGTAAATAGTATGGTATTCCGATACCCTCCTCGCTCAGGCGGGGCCTCCCTGGAGGGGTGGGAGGGGCACGAAACCATGTAAATAGTATGGTATTCCGATACCCTCCTCGCTCAGGCGGGGCCTCCCTGGAGGGGTGGGAGGGGCACGAAACCATGTAAATAGTATGGTATTCCGATACCCTCCTCGCTCAGGCGGGGCCTCCCTGGAGGGGTGGGAGGGGCACGAAACCATGTAAATAGTATGGTATGATACCCTCCTTTCGGAGGTATGGAGTGGTATGGAATGGTATGGTAGGTATGGTATGGTACGGTATGGTATGATATGGTATGGTATGGTACTGGAGGTATGGTATGGTATGGTACGGTGTGGCATTGGTGTGATATGGTATGGTATGCTATGGTACGCCATGGTATGGTATGGTACGGTATGGTACGTATGGTGTGGTATGGTATGGTATGGTATGGTATGGTATGTGTGGTAGGAACTATGGTATGGTATGGTGTGTGTGGTAGGAATAATATTGTGCTGTATGGAAGATGGAGCGGGAGGTGGGTGGGAAGGAGAGGGTGTTCTGGGAAAACAAGAACCCCACTCAGGATGTGGGGGGGGAAAAAAAAAAAAAAAAAAAAAAAAAAAAAAAAAAAAAAAAAAAAAAAAAAAAAAAAAAAAAAAAACGTGGGGGGAAAACAAAAACCCCCCTCCCCCCCCCCCTGGGGGGAAAAAAAAACCGCCGGGGAAAACAATAAAAGCCTCGATCCCCCCCCCCCCTCCCGCCACCTCCCCTCAGGGGGAAGAAAAAAAAAAGCCCCCCAGACCCCCAGACCCCCCCGAAGCCCCCCTCTGGGGAAAAACAAACAAAAAAAGCCTCGGAGGGGGGGGGGAAGCCAAGCCCGCGTCCGATACCCCAGCGTCAAGTCGACCCGCAGGGGTGAGGTTCGCAACTGGTCGCAGACCCAAGACAACGGGAATGAGTCGACATGTCCGCCCGAGCCCATGAGCAGAGGGCGGTGGAACTATGCCACATTTACAGAAAAGGTACTGAGGGTGTTTCATGTTCTGCTCTTGCTCGCACTGGAGCGCTACGGACGCGTGGAAAGGTTACAAACAATCCGAAACGCCACAAGCTGTACTTGGTCAAACGCTGAGTTGGGTTCTCTTTCTGATCAGCGCAGCTCTATCCACAAAGGCGGGCTGCAGACCAGGCGGGGCACTTCACCAACAAAGCGGCGCAAGCGCGAGCATCAGCCAGCATAGTTCCCCTCACCGCGGGAAGTAACGCAAGTAAAGGATGTGCGCGCCAGGGAGCCTCCTCCTCCTTCTCCTCCGTCTCATCCTCCTCCTCCTGTTCCCTCACTACTATCATTGTCTTCCTCATCCTCCTGCTTACCAGCTCGGTCATCATGAGCATCATCATCACCTTATCGTCATCAGCATCATCGTCAACAGCAGCAGCATCATCTTCCGGATCAGCAGCATCATTATCAGCATTAGCATCACCATCATCAACATCAGCATCAGCATCAGCATCATCTTCAGCGCCATCATCAACACCATCATCAGCATCATCATTATCAGCATCATCATCATCATCATCACCAGCATCCTCATCATCGTCATCATCATCATCACCAATCATTGTCATCATCGTCAAAATCGTCATTATCATCAATCGTTACGAGCATGATAATTATCATCATCATCATCATCATCATCACCATCACCATCACCATCACCATCATCATAATCGGCATCATAATCATCATCAGCATCATCATCACCACCACCGCTACCACCATCATCATCATCATCATCATCATCATCACCATCATCATCATCATCATCATCATCATCATCATCATCATCATCTGTATCATCATCATTACCATCATCAATCATCATCATTATCGTCATCAGCATCAGCATCAGCATCCTCACCATCATCGTCACAATTGTCATCACAATAGCTCATGGTCATCATCATTGCCTCGGCCTCGCATTACCGACATCATCATCACCACCATTGTCATAGACACCACCATCACCATCACCACAGTCACTAATGTCATCGTCAACATCACCATCACCATCACCATCACCACCACCAGCTTCATCATCATCATGATCAGCATTACCATCCTCATCCGAATCCTCATCCTGACCCTCCTCATCATCCTCCTCATCATCAGCATCAACATCAGCATCGTCGTAAGCATCCTCATATTCATCAGCACCAGCATCATCGTCAGCAGCAGCATCATCCTCTGCAGGATGAGCAGCAGCATCATCATCAGCATCAGCATCACCACCATCAACCTCAGCATCATCATCATCATCATCAGCAGCATCATCATCATCATCACGACCACCGCCACCACCACCACAACCATCATCATCATCATCATCATCATCAGCATCAACGTCATCATCGTCATCATCATCATCATCATCATCATCATCAGCAGCATCATCATCATCATCATCATCATCATCATCATCATCATCATCATCATCATCATCATCATCATCATCATCATCATCATCATCATCATCATCATCATCATCATCATCATCATCATCATCATCATCATCATCATCATCATCAGCATCATCAGCATCATCATCATCATCATCATCATCATCATCATCAGCATCATCATCATCATCATCATCATCATCATCATCATCATCATCATCATCATCATCATCATCATCATCAGCATCATCATCATCATCATCATCATCATCATCATCATCATCATCATCATCATCATCATCATCATCATCATCATCATCATCATCATCATCATCATCATCATCATCATCATCATCATCTATCTTCAGCGCCGTCAATCATCGTCATCATCATCACCATCATCAATCAGCATCATCATCGTCACAATCGTCATTACGAAGGCTCATGATCAGCATCATCAGCAGCATCATTCTCGTGATCATCATCACCATCATCATCATAATCTTCATTATCATCATGGTCATCATCATGTTCATCACCTCCCCACCACAAACAACATCATCATCACCATCATCATCAGCATCAGCATCATCAGTATCGTAACCATCACCATCATCATCAGCATCATCATCACCCTCATCATCGCCATCAGCATGGTCACCACATCATCATCATCAGCATCATCATCAGGATCGTCACCATCATCGTCGTCATCATCAGCACCATCGCCATCATGGTCACCACAATAGCTCATAATCATCATCATGACCATCAGCATCATCTTCACCGCCATGATTAGCATCGTCAAGAGCATCCTCATCATCGTCATCATCATCAGCGTTACCATCGTCACCATCATCATCATCGTGAGCATCGTCACCATTGTCACCACATCATCATCCTCAGCATCATCATCCTTCGTTCTTATCCTCCGAGGGAAGTAGCAGTGGCAAGAGGGCGGCTAGCCCCGTCTGGGGAGTGTCGTAGCGCCTCTTCCAGCCCGCCAGCGACGAGTCAAGCGCCTCCCCAAGAGCCTCGGGGAAGCACCGCCCAGACGACGACGACGACAACGAGCGCGACGACGACGACGACGACGGCGACGACGACGATGACGACGACGACGACGATTGGCGGTGCGCACAAGGGGGTGGAGGGAGGTGGGAGGGCTTCTTAGAAGGAGGCTGCTTCTTAGAAGGCGCCGGCCTTACATCTATAGCCGCGCCTTCTAAGGAGCAAGGAGCAGGGGTGCTTCTAAGAGGCCCTCCCCCATCCCCCCTCTGCGCGTGGCTGAGACGACGACGACGACGACGACGACGACGACGACGACGACGACGACGACGACGACGACGATGGCAGCGGCGGCGGCGGCGGCGGCGGGCGACGGCCACGGCCACGGCCATGGCCACGGTGACGGCCACGGCCACGGCCACGGCCACGGCCACGGCCACAGCGACGGCGACGGCGACGGCCACGGCCACGGCCACGGCAACGGTCGCGGCCACGGCCGGCGACGGCGGTCACGACCACGACGACCGCGATGCCTTCAGAGCTTGGAGACATCTGGCCGGAGAGGGCGAGGAGAGTAGGATGTATGAGGAAGCGCGCAGGAAGTAGGAAGGCGGAAGAGCCTCCTCCTCCTCCCCCTCGTCACCATAATCACCAGCAGCATCATCGTTAGAGCGAGGACCTCCAGACCGTCTTAGCCGCGCAGAACCAGATCAACACCGTCATCACCATCATCATAAGAACAATAATCAAAACAATTACACCATCAACGTCACCATCATCACCACCAACGCAACCATCATACAAGAATGCGCATGACCGTCGTCATTCATCATGCGCTCCTCTACATAATCATCATCAGCAGCAGCATCATCATCATAAAGATCATCAACATCATCATCATCATCAGCAGCATCAACATCATCAGCATCATTATCAGCAGCATCACCATCACCATCATAATCAGCATCAGCAGCAGCATCATCACCACCATAATCACCATGAGCATTATCCACAATCAGAATCGTCAGCACCAATATCATCAGCATCATCATCATCGTCATCATCATCGTCATCATCATCATCATCGGCATCATCATCACCGCCGCCATCATCGCCATGATCATCACCGTCACCATCGTCACCATCATCACAATCATCGCCGTAATCAGCATCATCTCCATTATACCTGTCATCACCATTATCACCAGCATTCCCATCCCAAAACCACCATCATCATCACCATCACCATCATCAGCATAACCGCCAGCAACACCACTATCATGATCAGCAGAATCATCAGCATCATCATCACCATCATCACGATCACCCTCATCATCACCATCAAACACTCATCATCACCATCACCATCACCAACTCCATCTCAATCTCCATCGCCATCACCATCACCTTCCTCATCACCAGTAGCAGCATCAGGATCAACATCACCACATCATCATCCATCTACTATTCCATCCATCCATTCTCAATCCATCCATCCATCCCATGCTCCCGCTCCCGCTCACGACTCTTGCCTCCTTCTGCCCCTCATTCTCCCAACTGCGGACGCCCCTAGATGCCCCATCGCCACCACCATCACCAGCGCCACCATAACAACTTCACCATCGGCCAAGTGTCATGACAACCATAGTCGCTTTTTGTCTGGCACTGGTACCCTCAGGCTGCGCGCGCGCCAAGGACACCGGGCGGAAAGGGTCCCGCGTGCGCACGCGCGCGCGGACCATCCGCCCTTGCGGCGGCGGTGGCCTCATAGCTGCCCTCGCTGGTACTTGAGGACGCGGCCCGTGATCATCGCGGAAGGGTTTCTGCCTTCCGCGGGGCCCAAGCTCATCACCGCCATCTGGCAGTCCACGGTCTGGTTCCGCAGCGACTCCGCGCACTTCTCGTCCACCCCGTTCGCTGCTATGAACTCCTCCAACTGCGCGGCTATCTCGAACGCGCTCCCCGACCCGCCGCCGCCACCGCCAGCAGAAGCCTTGACGATCCTGCCCATGACCATCGCGGAAGGGTTCCTGCCCTCGGCGGGGCCCAAGCTCATCACCGCCATCTGGCAGTCCACGGTCTGGTTCCGCAGCGACTCCGCGCACTTCTCGTCCACCCCGTTCGCTGCTATGAACTCCTCCACCTGCGCGGCTATCTCGGCCGCGCCCCCAGACCCGCAGCCCCCGCCGGCCACGGGCAAGCCGCCGCCGAAGCCTCCGCCGAAGCCGGTGCCCACCGCGCCAGCGGCGGCTTTGACAATCCTGCCCATGACCATCGCCGAGGGGTTCCTGCCCTCGGCAGGGCCCTGCGAGATCACGTACTCCTGGACGTCGGGCGGCTGGTTCCTCAGGGATTCCCTGCACTTCTCGT